TGCCGTGCGGCTCCTGTCTTTAGACGTGGAGACGCGAGTGTCGCCCGGCCCTTGCCCCACCACCCTCGTGTGTGTGCAGAAGTGTACCTCACCGCACCGCACCTCACCTCGCCGCACCGCACCGCAATGCACCTCACCGTACCGTACCTGGCCGCAGGCGCGCGAGCCGAAGAAGGAGGCGCGCCGGTTCATCAACGACACCGTGCGCAACGACTTCCACCGCAAGTTCCTGTACCGCTACATCAAGTGACGAGCGTTACGACGCTAGACGGTGGGTGCGCAGACCGGCGAAGGGCGGGCGACGCAGTGGCGACGCAGTGTGTATCGCGTTGGGGCTTGGGCCCAGAGAGCCCACACGTGTCGCTCCTCGCTCGCGAACGAACGCGTGTACTGTTCGTGTCGGTTAGTTTCGAGCATGTTTTTTTTTCGCCACTCTTTTTCGCGCGCGCCAGGGCGCGGGGCGGGCCACAACCCACATGTCTCATGTGAAAAAAGGTAAAGGTAAACGTCTCCACACTGAGACGGAGATAGACACGCAGACAACCACAATGACAAAGTGGGCGCGACGCCGCCCAAGCGCCGGGGCGGGGCCGCGGGGGGCGGCGTGTCCTCCGGGTCCGGCCGGAGAGAGGATTGAGGTGTGAGGAGAGACAGTCAGACAGAGTCAGAGAGCGGGCAGAGCGGTGCGGCGCTCGCGACACCGAGTTTAGATGCACACAGTCGACACCACTGGGACAGCCGCCGTTGGTAGTCGTACAGTATGTCACCGCACCGTGTCGTGGCGGCGGTCGTGGGTGGCGGCGGTCGCGGCTCACACGATCCCAATACTGACGACTGTGTCAAATATCAGGTCCAACGGAGAACCAAAAGGCGACGTCCCGACACGATTGCGGCCTACGAAACCTTCTTGCTCTGCGGAATCGCTTCGGCGGTCTTGGCGCGGCGCGTGCGCAGCATGCAGTACGCGTTGAAGAAGATTAGCGCGGACGAGACGACGCCCGGCTGCCACGCCAGCGCCTGCACGTCGGGCGGCAGCGCCGGAACGAGAGACACCAGAGTGCTCGCCAGCCACGCGGTCAAGCACGGGTCGTCCGGGCCGAAGCGCGCAACCAGGGTCGCCGGCGGCACGACCGAGAGCAGCGGCAGCGCCAGCGGCGGCAAGCCCAGCACAGCGTCGCACGCAGCCGCCGCGAAGGCATCGGGCGGTGGCGCCGCCGTGCTGCAACCGCTGCGGGCAATGCTGAGCGCGCTCGCGAGCAGCATCAGGTAGGACAAGCCATCGCCAGACCACATGACGACCATGAGCCCGGCGAAAGACAGCGGCACGCCCCACGTGAAGGCAAAGGGAGCGGCCGTCTCCGAGAGTGTACCGGCGGCAATAAAAGCGCCGGCGATGGTGAGGCAGAGCGGTGCGGCGAGCGGGTAGATCATGGAAGCACGGCGGCGTCCGGCTGGTCGGTGGTGGCACGTCGGAGGCGGTTCGCGTGACGTGTGGAACCGGGCCGCCGGGCCGCCGGGCCGCCGGGCACGCACGGGCGTGTGTCAGAAATAAGAGGGCTCCCGCTGCGATCAACACCGCAACCTCCTTTTCTAAAACCTCGATACTTAGCGCACTGCTCGGGCGAGAGCTCAAACACGTGCCGCGTCTCGTCTTCGCCGCCGGCTACGCGCACAGACACAGTACGCGGCAGCGCCGACACGTCAACCCGCGTGTACGTCAGCGACGGGTCGCGCACGCCGCACGAGGCGCATGCGTGCAGCGGCAGCGCGTGCGCTCGTCGCTCCACTCGCCCAGCAGCCGCCGCTTCGTCTCGTCGGAGACGTGCACGCAGCGCTGCAGCAGCGCCGCCGTCTCGTCCTCGGGCCGCTCCAGGTCCATGACGACGTTCGTCGAGGCGTGGAAGCGCGTCTCCAGGTCGATGGCCGCCTGCTCGGCCGCGGCGAGCTTGCCCTGGTCGACGCACATGCCGCACACCGCGTGCGCCGGGCAGCCGCACTGGCCGCGTTGTGGGCGCACGGTCTTGGCGACCGCCGGCGCTGCGCGCCGGTCGTGCTGCTCACGCTGCCGGCGGCGCTGTGGTCGCGCGCCTGCCGATCGCGCGTGTTCGCGGCGGCTGCATCTCCTGCTCGTTTCGCTCGCACCCGAGCGGCGGTCGCCAGGCGCTTCAGGTCGGCGGTGCTGCGCGCGCGGCCGTCGGCTCTGCACAGCCACATGTCCTCCTCCTCGGCAGGCTCGCACGGCTTGCCGTCGAACTGCGGCGGGAACCCGCGACGACGCTTCGCCCAGGCCGGGCACGATGGTGCCGCGACGAGCGGCGTCGAGGCGACGGCCATCGATGGGTCCAGAAGACTTGGAGACACTTCTAAACCAAAAAATCAAAAAAAGCGAGCACAAGTGCGTTACATGGGCATGGCCGGCGTTTCTGCACCGAACGATCTTACTTTCGGTCTATCGAAAGTGTTGATCTATAAGAATTTTGCCAGCCTCCAACCTCCCTCGCACAACACTGGGCCCATCCCTCGTTTGGCGTGTCTGCTTTCTTTCTTTCTTTCTTTTTTTACAACACTGGGCACGGGACTGGCGCGCACTGGCACTAACACAGGTACACCACGGGAGCCGCCTAAGCGACTCCTGCGAGGGTGGCGAGGCACTTAGCTCCGTGCACCCGCCCACCCCCGCCACAGGCAAGCTCATTCACAACCTGCTCTGCGATGGCCGAAATAAGAATTTTACAACCCATAAGAAAGAGCGGGCTCCTGTATGGCGATCCGCCTCCATTTCTTGCTCGCTCGCCCGGGCGGAGGGCATGGCCGCGGAGGAGGCGGGCGCGCGCTTGCCAGGCCTTCCGCAGACAGCCTCTCGGGCAGACTGAGGGTCGGCTTTGCGTGGCGTGGCCCGTGCGCTGCGCTGCGCAAAGCTGCGTGTGCTGAGGGAGCATCTGGTGCTTCCTTTGGGAGGTGCGCACCTCCTGCGACTGGTGGAGGGCCGTGCCGCCGCGCGCCTTCTCCGTGAACAGGGCGGGGAGACGGCGCGCCGCAGCGCCACAGCCTCCGCGGCATGCCGGTGCAGCACTCTGCTGCCTGGTGAGCAGCATGCTGGATCTGTGCGCAACGTTTGCGAGGCTGCAGTGGCGCGGTACTGCAAGCCGCGGCGAGTGGCGCGCAGCATGCGCGGCGCCGCGCGTGGCCTGGACAGCGCCAGGGAGCGCGCTCGATGAGCCAGCCGGCGCGGCGCGAGCGCCGCACAAGCTGACGCATCGTCTGCCATGCGGCGATCCTCTGGTCGACGGCGTGCAAATCTCGCGATTGTCGATCAAACTCGGCGGGCTTCATTCGACGCCGTTTACGCGATCGGCTGGGTTCGCTTTTTCTTTTGCGAGGGGGAGGGGGTAATTATTATTATTGCTGGCACGGAAATCGCGAAAGCGTGGTGTTCGCTCCAATCTCCTTTCTTCCTCCCTTCCTCTCCCCCTCTCCGCCGCTCCCCTCCTCGCCGCACCCGTCTCCCCCACCGCCCTCGCCGCCGCCTC